GGGTGGGGCGGGGTGGAGTTGATTTCTGGAGGGGGTCAGATTGGGATGCTTTTGGGAGGCAAGCCATCCATGTTTCTCTCCCCCTCCCTTCCTCTCTTTGAAAATCAATGAAAACATATTCTCAGGTGATATGTTTTAAAAAAAGGAAGAAGAAAGCCTGGCCGGGCGTGGCTCAGCGGTTGACCCTAAAATCAACCTAGGATCTCCTAGGATCCAGGAGATGGCGTTGGATTCCTGGTCAGGGCACATGCCGGGGTTGTGGGCTGGATCCCCAGCAGGGGGTGTGCAGGAGGCAGCCGATCAATGACGACTTATCATTGATGCTTCCCTCTCCCTCTCTCTGAAATCAATAAAGATATATTTAAAAGAAAGAAAGAAAATATAGTTCCTGCTCTAAGGGAGAATGCAGACAAGTGAAAGGATCCAGGAAACTGGCTTGCTGGGTGTGTGAGAGCCTGGAGGAATCACAGGGAAGTCCTTGAGAAAGAAGTAGAATTTGAGTCCAGCCCTTAAAGAATGGGAAGGCTTTCTGCAGGCAAAGAAAACAAGATGCATTTTTATGTTCATAAGGATAAATGGCATTCCGAGTGGATGACTAGCAGGAACGAAGCAATTCCAGGTGGAGAAGGTACCTCTTTTGGGAATGGCAAGGGTTCCAGATTGGCTACAGTGCAGTGTTATTAAACGACACACATGGTGTTTAGTGTGCCTTTTAACTCCAGAGGGACCAGTAGGAACGAGGCTAGGAACGTCCAGGCCATTAGACATCCCTAAGTGATATTTAATGATGACTGACATTAAGTGTGAATTCAGATAGAACAGAGTGACAGGTCCTGATTCTGCTGTTTACTGGTTGGGTAATCTGGGGTACACTTTCTAGATGAATAAAGCTTAGGGTTTGTTATACAGTAAGAATTTAACAACTGTTATTTTAAATTTTTTATCCTCACCGGGGATATTTTTTCCCCACTGCAGACTGAGTGGAAGGGGAAGAAAGAGAAACATCTATGTAGGTGAGACACAGTAGTAAGAGCAGGAAAAATATTTACTTAACACATGCTCAGGTACTCTGCTAGGACCTTTAATTTTAAACCACAATGACATAAGGTATTATCCCATTGAATGGCTATTCCAGAGATATCCTGTAAGGTAGGCATGCTAGTTCCATTTTTATAGATAAGAAATACGTTCAGCAGTTAGGCTGCTGGTAACTGACAGATCCAGGGTTTGAATCCAGTCTGACTCCAAACCATATGCTTCTCCCACAATGGAACATGACCTCTCAGCAAGCATGACAGCCCTCTTCTTTTTGCTTCTCCTATTGCAGACAAGAAGGGACCAGCAGGCAAGCGTACCAAGACTAAGAACCCAGGTGAGGCATCAGCTAAAGCGGAGAACTCCAGCCCTCAGAAGACTTCAGCCCTTAAAAAATGTGGGAAGAATCTAAGCAGCTTCTGGCTGATGAAGTCTGAGCCAGAAAGCCGACTAGAGAAAGGTGTCGATGTGAAGGTGAGACCATGTACCTGGCTCCAATCCCTTCAAGCTGTTTTTTCGTGTGTGTTTTTTAATAAGAAATGATTACGGGACACCACAGGGTTCCATTGCCAGCTTCTTATCTTTGAAGGGTAGGGAAAAGGTAATAAGGAAAAAAATCAGCAGGACTTATTACCGTCAAGTCTTTTTTGTGAATCCTCTATCTAGGACAGGGGTGGTCAACTTTTTCTGTAAAGGGTCAGACTGTAAATATTTTAGGCCCTCTGGTTTTAGAGTTGCCGTTTTGTCTCTGCTGTTGCAAGAACATGGCATAGACAAAAAGTAAACAAATGTTGTGGCTGTGTTCCAGGAAAACTGTATTTACGAAAATCAGGCTTGGGGCTAGATTTGGCTTGATGGCTATAGTTTGCCAACCCCTAATCTAGACATTCTTAGGTTGCCTTTCTCTTGCCAGCTGTCATGCTCCTAGGTAATCTTCCTGATTTAGGGAGTTAATGTAAACCAATTTTAATAGCCCAGAGAAAATATAATTAGAAATATTATAGGATAGTATTTTAATACGTGAAATACAAATAATCAGCAGATTATTTTATGCTCTGGATTATTCATTCAATTAATCCTCTTAATTATCAAGGTTAAGATAACACAAAGCTTACTTACATTCACCCAATACAAGTGCCTCTGTAGAACTATTTCCCGGTAAACTGCGTACTTCTGCTATAGCCAGGAGCACCTTCAATGTATGGGAAGGAGTGGTCAGCTTCCATATATTCTTATCAGTTAGCCCAGGATTATTAATGAATGGCTTTATTTCCTGTCGCCTAGTTCAGCATTGAGGATCTCAAAGCGCAGCCCAAGCAGACAGCATGCTGGGATGGTGTTCGCAACTATCAGGTAGGAATAGGACCCTGACGCCCAGAGTGAAACAAATGCCTGCCTCCTTCTTATGCCTTATTCCGTAGCAAAATCTCTTGGCCAAGGTTGCTTTTTCCCAGAACCCAAACCTAAAAATGTATTAAAAAATACCTTAATTACTCTGATTGCATGCAATTTACAAATGTTGTATGTTTTAGCCAGTGTCCTGATATAAGTCTGGGTATCTTGGCAAGGACAAGAATTGAATTGGGGGATTCCCTAGCTGGGTGGCTTAGTTGGTTGGAGTGTTGTTCCATAAACCAGAAGGTTGTGGGTTCGATTCCTGGTCCGGGCACATATCTAGGTTGTGGGTTCTATCGAGTATGGGAGGCAACTGATTGATGTTTCTCTCTCAGACTGATGTTTCTCTTTGTCTCTCTCCCCCTTCCTCTCTCTAAACATACCCTCCGGGGAGGATTAAAAAGAAAAAAGGAATTGGGGGAAACTGCAATAAAGAAAAGCTCACTTAATACAAGCAGACTTGATTTCTGCCAGCACTAGTGTTTCCAGCTGGTCGGGCGGCAGTGCTTACTTCTCCTTCCCTGGGACAGGCCCGGAACTTCCTGAGAGCCATGAAGCTGGAGGAAGAAGCCTTCTTCTACCACAGCAACTGCAAAGAGCCAGGCATTGCAGGACTTATCAAGGTTAGTTGTACAGGCTTTGGGCTGATCCCTTGCCCCTCAGCAGGATTTACTCACGTAGATAGATACAAAGGGATACAGTTAAATAGCTAACAAAAAAATGGTGCTCTCCTCCCATCCCTGCTCTCACAGGAATATGGAAATACTGCCCTGGCCCTGTCCTGTGTGACAAGGCCTATAACAAGACAGGCCTTCATTTCAGGTCCCTGTGGCACAGTCTCTCCATTTCTACACCTTGGTCTTTCACTCAGAAACAAGCCTGATGATAGCTCTTCCAAGCCAGGATTTATCAGGATACAGTTATTAACCACAGGTGAAAAAACAGTGGCATCAATAATAACCTTTAATATTTGGTTTTAACATACTTTTGAGATTTTTGCCAAATGGGGTTGATTTCCTGTTCGCCTTAGACCGTGTCTTATTTCCAGATTTCTGAGCCCCCATTGGCTTTACAGCAAGGCAGGTGGGGTGAGAATGTACAGCACCAGAAATGAAAGTTGGGCTTGGATTAAGGATTTGCCATGGAGCCGTGGCTGTCGTGGCTCAGTTGGCTGAGTGTTGTTCCATGCACCGAAAGGTCCAATTTCTCAGTTAGGGCACATACTTAGGTTGCAGGTTTGATCCCTGGTTGGGGTATATAACCCCAAATGGGAGGCAGCGGATCAGTGTTTCTCACATTGATGTGTGTCTCTCTCCCCTCCCCTTCCTCTCTCTCAAAAATCAATAAAAACATTAAAAAAATATTTTTAAGAAAAGAATTGCCATGGAGCTGACTATATAGGCAAGTGATTGGAGACTTGGTTTTGGTTTCAGATTGTGAAGGAGGCTTACCCAGACCACACACAGTTTGAAAAAAGCAATCCCTATTATGATCCATCCAGCAAAAAAGACAACCCCAAATGGTCCATGGTAAAGACTACTATTTTTCCTATTTCATGAGGGGAAGGATGGACAAAGAGGGGGGAAGGAGGTTAGGGGGGTGTGTTTGGGTCAAGGTACAGAGTTCAGCTCTGACTCAGATGGGGTTACCCTGACTTTGGAGAGTACAGCACACTGTTAGCCTTGGCCATGGGAACCTCCTGCAAGCAGCTAAAACATCCAGCAGACAGAGTCTAGCTGGACATGTCTGTTCCATACACTGTTGTCATATAGGTGGATGTGCAGTTTGTTCGGATGATGAAGCGTTTCATTCCCCTGGCTGAGCTCAAAACCTATCACCAAGCTCACAAAAACAGTGGTGGGCCTTTAAAAACCATGGCACTGTTCACTCGCCAGAGACTCTCGGTTCAGCCCCTGACTCGAGGTAAGAGCGGGCCCTGTCCTTTGTCACCCACACACCAGAATGACACGGACAATTCACATTTACTAATTGATTAAACTTGGGCACAGTACTTAACCTGTAAGGTCCCTGCAGAGGAAATATGTTGAGTCACCCATTACTATGTACCCAGTGCGCAACAGTGCCTGGCACATAGTAAAACACTCCATAGTTCTTGAGTGAATGACTACCTAACGTGAGCGATGCCTAGCATTACTCCCCTATTCAGAAGAAAATACAAGACCTAATTCTTCCTTTCTTTTTTCCCTTTTTTGGTAGAGGAGTTTGATTTTATTTTGAGCCTGGAGGAAAAGGAACCAAGTTAACTCACATACTTGCTGGAATGGGCAAGATGTTACTCCAAAGAAACGAAGCTTTTGTAAGACACCAGGTGTGAAGAGGGTTATGTTCACCTGAGGCTGTGTACATAGGTGGGTTTTGTGTACTTTTCTCAATAAAACAGTAGTATCAGCATTGGAGAGCTTCTTTTACAGCAGCATTGGGTGTGGTGTAATACTCCGCTGTGGGGCTTTTACCTCCTGGCTGGCTCCGTTTACCCCTTGGCAAGATGCAGGGCTACCTCTGTCATCTTCCTTCACTGTAGCAAATACCAGGGTGTAGGGCGCTGTCATTTAACACCCACTGAAGTGAACTTTCGTCTCTTTACACCAGCCTCCTCAACAGCCCCTGGAGTCGTATGGGCCCCACAGGTTTAAACCATGTTTCAGGACAAGCTGCTGGAAGAGGTAAACAGGAATGCCTTCCTCCACCGTGTGCTTGTCTAAAGCAGGTACTAATAAAGAGCCCAGCATCGTTCACCTGGGCCACTGACACAGGGCAGGTGTCTTGCTGGCTCAGGGTGGAATCTGTCTTCCCTTGTGTGTGAGATGAGATAGTGTGAGGCAGAAGAGACCACAGAGCCTGGTGGACCGTGGGCATGATGCCTCCAAGCCACAGGGGCTTCCTTTAATCAGAGCAACAATTGAAACAAGCGTTCTTTTTTTAAAATACCACCATTGAAAAGACGATACATTAAGAAACATGTAAACACCGCAGCTGCTTAATTACAAGTTGCACTGCTTGGTTTAGTACCTATGCACTCCCAGGGGACCTTTAATGGAGGGGGACAGGAGTCTCCCCTCACTCCCGCAGTTGGGCACATAAGTGGAGGACAAGGGCAGAGTAAGAGAAAACAAGATCTAGCTTGTGCACAGGTCCTGAGAGAGTAAAGCTAATTCTATCTTCTAGCTTTCCCAGAAGAAAGGTTTCAGGTGTTAGAAAGTTGGAGAACGAATTTGTGTTGTCTGTTGGGAGGCAGAGGAATTGACAGGTGCTTTCTAGTTAGAACACCGTCTATGGGAAGGGCACCAGAGCCTAATCTCATGCTCTGAAGGTGAGGGAACAAAGAACACACCTCCCCCATACACTCAAGCTCCAACCTTGAAAACCCAGGGACAGCTGGACAGGTGACCCTGTTCCCATGGGGACTGCCCGCTGTACCTGAACTCGGGGTCAACCACGGGGGAAGCCACCTTACCTTCCTTGATGCTGCTGCCCCCAGTCAACCTCAAGTGTTTTCCCAAATGCCTTTCTCTCCAGTCTCGGTCCTGATCCATGAGCCCTGCCCAGTCAAATGCCTGCGATTGTACTGAAATTTGGGGAAGAGTTGTCCCTGTTTTCCACACTTTTTTTTTACAATAGGCCCAAGTGCAGTGCAACAGAGGGAAAGCCCCCTCCTCTAGTAACAAGAATATCCACGGGAGTTTCTGTATTGTTTTAAAGAAAAACAAATGGCCCTAAACTCTGGTCAACTGGTGAAGGTGAGGACATGATTTGGCAAGCAGAATCATTCTGAAGTTGTGTGGCAGGGTCTTCTGCTGAGGTCCCCACTGCCCTCCTTTAACTCATACCTTTAGTTAGGTAGGAAGGGAAGGGGCTTGGGCAACAGTAAGAACAAAATTCCCAAGTGTCTGAAACCCAGCCCCAATCCTCAGAAATTAAGTGGAGAGAAAGGAGTGATGAGGATCCACTCTTAGGGAAGCAAGAGATCAACGCCCCTTCCTGGGATCTGTTCTTAAAGATCAGATGCCTGTAGGCTTGCTGGGGCCACAGAACAGTCCGCCAGACCCCACAGACCTTGGGCTGACGGGAGTGACGTGAAGGCAGACGGCTACCAGGCAGTACCCATACGGCCTCCTCAGTGGCTGGCTCGGCCTCCTGTGTTCAACACTGCTGCCAACGACACAGAACACGGACCTCAGAATATCTGTGCCAGAATTTCTCATGGGGGAGGGGACAGTCAGCCAAAGGCCCTTCCACAGGCTGTTCCAGAGTGTTACTAACAAGAATCCATAAAAGATGGAGAAGGGAGGTGCCTGGTCCCCGCAGGGAGAGAAAGGTCAGAAAGGAGGTGGCTTGTGGAAATTTCAAAGCACCGCATCCAAGACTCCCCAAAAGGTAGCTTCCCAATCTCGAGTCTCCCCCGGCTACTTAGGATGGGGCAGGCCCAACGGCTGCCACTCCCTCAGGGACATAGAGGGGAAGACAAGAAGTGACTACCCGGGCCCCATTGGCAGTTCCGAATCCCAGGGACATGGTCAGATCCTGTGTCCGGAAGCCAGAGGCTGGAGCGAGGATGCTGGCACTGTCTTCCTATGTGACGTGAGGCAGTCCACATGCGTGCCAGGCCTTGGCAGAGGCTCTTCCTTGAGACACGAGCTTCCAGGATGATTCCTCTCACTACCACCATGTCAGCTGCAGAACCCAAGGAGGCTTCCCCCAAGGTTCTTCAGAAAAAGAATTTAAGTCAAAAACATGATTTGCTTTCAGGTTGCAAGTACTGGGTCAGCTGAGCATCACACTGTCCTCCCCCTCCCCCTCCCCGAGCCGCTGGTGTTCGGTAGACGGGTGCTGGGTGGGAGCCCAGCAGCTTCTGGCCCTGGGGGCCTACTGCCTGCAGTTGTTGTCGGACAGCTGGTTGGGGGTCCGCACTTCACCCAGGGAGGTGGTGCCCTCGAAGCGCTGTGAGGCGATGGCTGCCTGGTGGGACATGCTCTTCCGCACGATGTCGCCCTTCCGCCACAATACCACTTCCTGCAGAATTGGGAGGGGAGACATGACAGCATGAGAGGAAGGCATGGGGATGGGTTTCCCGGAGCTCTAACCTTCTCCTGGGGAATCTTAGGCAAAATCCTCCTCTGCCTATCTCTCAGCAAAGATACCAGCCGTCCCTACCCCTGGCTCGGGGCCCTTCTGGATGTTTCGGCTGGAAGGGCAGAGTGGTTACTGGGGTTGGGCTTGAGGAAGCAGACTCTAGGTATCCAGTGGGAACCCTCATTCTTGCTGTGGGACTCTTGGTAACCCACAGTTTCCACCTCTTGGTAAAATAACAAGTGGCATGGAGGCTAGTGCTGTACTTTAACCTGCCAGAACAGAGCCTGGTCTTTGCAGGAAAGAAGCCCTTCCTGTTCTGTGACTATGGCCACCGGGGGCCTGGAGGAGGTGCCCAGGGTTCACCTGCTGTTTGAAGTAGCGCCGCTCCTCCTCGTCTATCAGCACCAGGTTGAGATAGTAGCGCACCGAGAACTTCTTGTTGATGTCCCGCATGGTGGGTGTGAGCTCATAGCCCGCCAGAAAGAGCCGGATTGGGATAGACTCTCCTATAAGGGCCAAGCAGGAATCAGTGAGGACAAAGTGGCCACTCTACCTACACCAAGTCCCTCTGACCAGAGCAGGGAGATGCCACCTGAGCATGGCATGGAACACTCAAGACAATGCTCCTGCCTTTTGGGAAGCTGCATTCTGCTGCCTGGTGATTTGCTGAAGCAAAAATGTGACTGCAATTCCCTTCCAGGTCCAGCTGTATCTTCTAAGACCAGTGAATGGCAGTGGGGATGGACAGCACAGGGATAGCACTGTCAAACATCTTTTGATCACATGTAATGTGTCTACTTGGGTGTTCAAAAGCGAGTTGTCAAACCCCAGCAAAATCATCATGTCACCCAGCAATTTCAATGCCACCTCCTCCATCTTAATTAGTGCATGCCCCCCAAAATACATCTCTACTCTAAGATGGATTGGCAGGATGGTATGGTGGTCTGGGAAACAAAGCATCCTCTTTCTGGTCCCAGTTCTCCATTAACCAGTAAGTCTGTTGCTTTCCCTGGACCTTAATTTTCTCATGTGGAAAATTACAGAAACAGACTACATCATATTTTAGATCCCCTCCAGCTCTAACATCATGCCTTTCCCAGTATAAGTGAAACAGAATTAGGGCAGTAAGTCTACTGAGGAAGTTCAAAACTATAATGCAGCCTAAAGCTAAATATAAGTAAACTTTTAATTATCTGCTGTTTTGTATCATTTCTCATTGCCCCATTTCACTTGTACAGGGAAAATGACAACTGGCTCTGCTCATTTTCTCAGCTGGTGAAAAAATGGAACAGAGTCTGGAGAGCTCAGTCCTATCTCCCCAAGGACCTGGCATGGTGATGCTCAAGAATGTGCTGTCTTGTCCCCGGTGTTCCCAGCTGCTAAGTCTGTGACACCCTCCTCCTGCATGGACTGGACCTTGGCATCACCAGGCACTTCTGAGTGAATCAGTACGTTCTTCATTGTTAGTTGCAGCCAAGCCGATGACGAACGGCAGTGATGGCTGCTCCCAGGTAGTCACAGGTTCTCCAAACAACAGCTCTCCTCTCCACCCATCCCAGAAGTAACATCAGCTCTGGGAGGGGGGAGAGGACCAGTTTCACCCAGCTCCCAGTGCTGTCTGTAGCCCCTGGTGGTGCTGGCCAGAGTATTTATACTTGGTGAATGAATGCAGAGAATTTATCATTTTACCAGAGCCAGAACTAAGTAACAAAAATGACTATTCTGTATTAATCTCTTGCCCCCCAATAGCAAAGAATGTCAGAATATCAACAGGCAAAAGTAACAGATGTTCAAACTGTGTATATTAAACCAGTTGGCAACCTTTTTGTTTTAACAAGTATAACTTGAGATTCAATCTCTAGTTCAAGCTCATATACAGACCACAGACGAGGTCTTTTGGGGCAGGTGGGGTCGGAGTTGGGAGTGTCACAAACTCAGCCATCCTGTTCCTGCTTACGGAGACCCCAAGTGTACAATTAAGAGATTAGGAAATTACAGGCAATAGAGATCTCACTTCAACAGTAGAACCCTCAGGCCCCTCCACAATCTGTGCCAGGGCCTGGGAGGAAAGGTGTGGTGCTGGGGGCCAGGGGTCACGAGGCTCACCTCTCACTGGTGCTCCATCCATGATTTCATACTTGGCTATCGTGTCGTTCTCGTGGTACACGTTGGGGCCTGTGCCCGTCGTTTCCCGCTTGATGATATCTATCTCCATGTGCTTGATTTTGATTCTCACCAGCAGGAAGTATATCTTTCCTACAATGACATCTTTCAAGTGGTATCTGGGGAAGAGAAAGTAAATAAGGTAAGATGTGTGTACAGCAGCGAACCCTTACAGGCCTTCCTGGTCTCAGGAGAGGGTACCCTGCTCTGCCCAGCATGTTGACTAAAGGTGGGGTCACAGTGCACACTCACCAACATTCTCACCCACAGCACACTGCAGCCTAATTTTCCAACATGTTCTTTACTTGAATCAAAGTAACTTCTGTCCCTTCCATTCTTCCATATACGACTCGAAGGATGTTTCTCCTGCACGTCACATCACCCACGCAAGCAGGCTCATCTAATCTCTCTGGTCAGTACTGCAACTACTTTCAAACGTTTCATATTTGTGTATTTTTTTTAGGTATCCTAATGTGTGAGAGGCCACAAATGCAGAAGCCAGGTCTTCTTCTTCCTCTCTAAGCCCCATAAAATGCCCTTTGGGAACTGGGCCTTGACGGCTGCAGCAGTTTTGTGTGCTGAGGACCTAACAGGCCAGAGAGGAGCAGCAGAGCGAGATGCATGTGTATTATCCCATCCACACCTTCTCTCTGAGCTCTGCTCACAAGGACTGTGCTCTGTGAGCTGTTAGGGATCCAGCCATGTGACATAATGCTTTTCTCTGGGTCAGGCAGCAGTTCTGGTGGCCTATGTATGCACAGCCCCATAGCAGGCATCGAGGCAGAGAGTAAAATCTCCAAACCTGAAGTTCAGAATCATAAGATGTGAATGTTAGCAGGGACTTCAGGATTTAACCTCCTTAAGGAAGTTTGAAGAAGTAATTTAACCAGGATTTGAATAGGGGACAGACACAGGATATGAACGAAACCTCCTAATTTCTAAACTTGTGTTCTCTCCATTTTTTTCTTTTTTTTTTTTTAATCCTCAACTAAGGATATATATATTTTTCCATTGCTTTTCAGAGAGAGTGGAAGGGGGGGAGAGAAACATCGATGTGAGAGAGACACATTGATTGGTTGCTTCCCCCACGCACCCCGACCAGTGCAGGGGATCGAGCCTGCAACCAAGGTATGTGCCCTTGGCTGGAAGTGAACCTGGGATCCTTCAGTCTGCGGGCTGACACTCTAACCACTGAGCCAAACCGGTTAGGACTCATTTTTTGTTTTTTAAAAGTATGTTTTTATTGATTTTAGATTGAGGGATAAGGGGAGGGGAAACACTGATGTGAGAGAAACATCCATTGGCTCCCTCCTGTATGCCCCCTGCTGGTGATCGAGCCCACAATCCTGGCATGTGCCCTGACCAGGAATCAACCTGGCGGCCTCATCATGCACGGGCGGATGCTCAACCAACTGGGCCACACCAGCCAGGGCTCTCCATTACTTCACACCACTTAGGCTAATAATCTAATTGGGAAGACTGCAGACACTCTAAGTAGAGAAGCTAAAAACAGTTACAAAAGCAGAATGTAGGCCACTCAGCATTTTGGAAAGAATGCTTAGAGATCATAGGTTCTAGGGGTTTTCCAACTTTCATAAAATGACTATTCCTTTTTTCTAAATAAAATCTCATACAGAAGCATTAATATGTAAGCAACATGAAAGAGCTGCTATTGTGGAGGGTGGGCCTAGAGCCCTGGCTCCCAGCTCCTCTTTCACTAGCTCTTTCTGTGTGTGGGCTTGAAACCCGCTAACCTGATCCAAGCCCCTCATTTTTCAGGAACCAAAGGTACAAACATTTTTAGAACCTGCTCACCTTAGCCCAAGTCCTCAGTGGCAGAACAGAACCTAATTCACAGTGCCAGGCTCTTTGTGTTATGTCATACAGACTGTGCTCCCACAGTGTGGCCTGCTCTGCATAGACAGGGCCAGAATCTGGGAGTATCCAGTCTTTGACGCCATGCAATAGGCTCTCTGAGTGTCTTTCACATACCACATGTGGTCCTGAACACACTGCTGGCTGATGGTGGTTCTGAGCTCCTACAGGCGGTACTGCCTGCCAGCCATCCGCTTTGTCAGGTGGCTGGGGCACTGGCGGGCATGCACTTTGGTGGCTCCTTTTCAGGAAGGCTCACAGAGCCCTGAAACTGTGAGGAGAAAGGGGAAGAAGCCTGTTCCCTTACAGCAGGGGTGAGGACACTTTTTTCTGCCAAGGGCCATTTGGATATTTATAACACCATTCGCGGCGAGCCCCACAAAATTATCAACTTAAAAATTAGCCATGAAAAAGGCTCCTAGATTTACTGAATTTCAAGTACTGTCTGAGGTTGCTTAGGCAGCACCAGACCAAATGATTTTGCAGGCCATATATGGCCTGTGGGCCAGACGTTCCCCATCCCTGCCTTACCTGTACCTGCTGGCCTTGCTCAACCTTCCCTCCCTGGGACCCTGCCCCATTCCATTGGCAGAGGCCAGGCCATGCAGGGCCTGTTCTGGGTCCCAGTGATCATTTTATTGAACGCCACTTGGTTCCAGGCCAGGACACAGGGGGGAAAATACTTCTTCCTCACCCCTGTTCTAAGAAGCATGTATGTTTTTGGTTTTAAAAGCCCCTGTTCCCAACCCCTTCGCAGGGGAGCCTTCTGGCTCAGCTTCCTCTCCCGAGATTCTGGATGGCAGTAGGGCCATGGGAAGGGTCGCTCTATGAATAGCATACACTCTTACTTTTGCACATTTGATCCTCAAACATTTACAAGAATGTACTATGTTGAAAAGATGCTGAGGTGCATTTTTGAACTATACATGTGATTTACATGCCCTGAAATATTTTTGTGTTCTAACAGTAAACACAGTTTAAAACAGAGATGGCTTCCCAACTGGCCAGTTAAAATTATTTAGGCCTTTATGAAAAGACATAGGTATTCTTTGCTACAATTCACTTTAGTTCAGAGAGGAAGCAGCAGACTGAGGCCGGTGTTTGGTTTCCTCACTTTGCCTTCTAAGGACATATTGGTCATAGGAGACAGGTGATAATGGACTGGCATTTGAGATGATTCTCAGCAGGGGAAGGAAACAGCTGTACCAAGAATCCAAAACCAGTAGCCTTACAGCTAGTTTAGCTTGACTCTGAAAGAATCATAGGATGTTTAATTTAAATTTACCTTCCTAATACAGTTTAGCTGAAGTTGAATGAGGTTTGATTTCCTGGTCACCTTGGCCAGTCTGGCACATGCATTCCCTGTTTTCTTTCTGTGCTGTCTGCCACAGCGTGTCACCATGAACTAGCCAAGGCTCCCTAAATGGTTCTTCTACAACCTAGGGCCCAGGCACTTACTTGGACTTGTTGTACTCAAACTCAATGTGCAGACAGTCCTCAATCCCCACCTCCATCTTGATGGAAGAGTTCAGCTCTGGGTACGTGCTGAGTGTGTGAACTACGATGTCCATCTCTTTGACAACATCATTGAGGCGGCGGCTGATGGTGGCTCGAAGGAAATACCTGGAGAATATGGACGTGTCGTGAAGGAACACTCCCAGTTTCCACATGCTACCTAGGTTTATGCACCAAATTGACCCACTTGAGAGAACTCCCTATAGCGGTTCACCTTTAGGGCTTTGTGTTCCTTGGAGAATTTACCTCTGTGGACCCTCCTCCCAGAAAAGTGCACACATGCACTTACACACGATACACTTTGCAGTTACGATTCCAGGGTGTTCAAAGACCCTTTGCCCAGATCCCTTTGTGAGCTCGTGCTCTGGGTTAAGAATGCTGCTCTATGCCTGATCAGCGGAGCTCAGCGGTTGAGCATCGACCTATGATCCAGGAGATTGCGGTTCGATTCCTGGTCAGGGCACATGCCCAGTATGGGACGCGCAGGAGGCAGCCGATCAATGACTCTCTCATCATTGATGTTTCTTTCTCTCTCCCTTCCTCTCTCTGAAATCAATAAAGACATATTAAAAAAAAAAAAAAGAATGCTGCTCTAAGTCGAAGTGATTCTCTGCTCTGTATTCTAGGTGCATGCCATTCCTGTCCCCTTCATGGCCCTCACCACTCTCTACCATGTAATTGTGTGCAGGTTTTATTTCTTAAGCTAGCTCCTGGCTCTTTGGGCACAGGAATCTGTCTTTACTCTTATACTTGCCTGCCCATTCATTCAACAATATTCAATCAAGAAGCATTTTTCAAGTCCCTCACAGTTAAGAGAGGACTAGGTAATGGAGAAACTCAGTCAGCTATTCAGTCAGCAGACATTCACAGGGCGAATAAGAGATACCGTCTCAAGGGATGCTCACAGACCGCTAGGGGAGATGGGCAAATAAATAGGAAAACTGGAACACCTGGAAAGTGCTAACTGTGATGCAGGAATCAAAGCCTGGGGAGAGAGAAAAGGGCATTTGGGAGAGCAAATCTTATAAACAAAGCAACAGAGGTGGGAGAGAAGCTGGTGTGTTTGACAAAGAAAATCTCTGGCTGAACTAGGATCCTCAGGGAAGGGGGTGGACGTGGTAGGGGTGAGTCAGAGAGTGTGCCAAACCTGACCTCTACAGCCAGCCACGTGAGTGTGGCCTTCCCCAGCATGCCTGTCTCCTTCACTTAACTCTATACTAATACCCAAGGAGGGAAGAAACACCCCTTTAATTACATTTTCTTCTAAATAAAACTTAAATAGTGCCCACTGTCTTTCAAGTACTCCTGGAGAAAATTGCTAACCAGATCAACTACACGCCAGGCCACTCTCTTCTGTGCGGCTCTGACTGCTTCCTGGCCGTCTTTTTACTCATCTCAGTAGCTCCCGTCACACTCCCCAAGACATCTGTTCCTAACTCTTTTCTAATTGCTCAGGCTCCCAAGCCTCCCCTTTCCCTCTCAGTGGAGGACACTGCTTTTACTATACTAAGAAGGTGAGGGCCTTCCAAGTCAAGATTTATAATTCTCTCCCTTCTGCTTTGTGCTGTTCCTCACTTAGGGCCTAAACGTGTGCATTTTTGCCCATCGCTTCCTCCTTCCCACAGCACCTCTCTCTTAAGCCCCTTTCCCCTCCTCCCTCTGGCTGAGTGACTCTCCATTTGGGCGCACATCAGAATCATCTGGGGGAGGGGCTTTAAACATCCTGATGCCCAGGCACACCTGACATTTCATTGCTCTGGAAAGAGACAGAAGCATCAACAGTTTTTGTTTGTTTGTTTGTTTTTTAAATATATCTTTATTGATTTCAGAGAGAGGAAAGGAGAGGGAGAAAGAGAGATAGAAACATCAATGAGGAGAGAGTCACTGATTGAGCCCGCAACCCGGGCATGTGCCCTGACAGGGAATCGAACCCCGATCGCCTGGATCCTAGGTCAACACTTAACGGCTGAGCCATGCCCGGCCGGGCTCAACAGTTTTTAAAGCCACCCAAGTGACTCTAAAATGGGAGCCCTGTCTGGCATCCTATTCCTTCCACTTTTCCAATTTTCTTACCATATCCAATCTCTCTCCAGCTAAAGGCTTCTTCCTTTGAGTTTATAAAAAGTCCCCAAATCATCAATCCTCAAAACCCTGCCCAGGCCTTATATTCTTGACCTTCCTTCAGAGCCAACTGTCACTGAGGGATCAGGTTCTAACTGCAGCTTCTTCCCTGGCAGCTACTCCTCACCCTTGGCT